CCGATTACCCTACCTCAGCATTTCAAGAATTAGAATAAACATTCATGTAAAATCAAATGAAAATAAACTCTAAATTCATTAATGGAGGAACTCGCAGGTAAGCCTCAGTAGGAGAGTATGAAAAAGACGCGCGCGTGTGGGAATGTAATCGTTAATTTCAATATGGTGCTGCAGTTTTACTGAAGGAAAGAATTTCCTCGCCATGCGAGGGTTGTTACTGTCTGTCGCTAGCACCTCCAAAGCCTGGCGAAGGCGCAGTTACACTTGGCATTCCATTTTTCGAGTAACATGACGCCTAATTTCGTTGTGACAAATGGTGCAGGAAATCGTGCCTGGTGTAATAAACCCTGAAATATGCATGTCTCACAAAATTCAGTAAACCACTTCCGGGCCCCTCCATTCTGATATACGGTTGCAAACTACTTTTTCAATGCGATATTTTGGGGGTAAAATATCTTGCAAGCGAGCGGGCAATGGACAGAAGAAATTTGGGACAAGCTATGAGCACTTTCCTTTCAACCAAAACTTACGGTTCGAATCTCCAGCAAGTTTCCAGCGGCGAATGGAACAGATTTGTTTGGAATTTCCCAAAGAGAAGAAAAGTAAGCAACCATTACCGCGAGATAAATCCCAAAATATTTGAATTTTTCTTACCAGGAATTTTAGTTTCATTTGATTTTGCTCCCGGAATGTGCCAAAAATCTCGATTCAATGGTTTTTATTTAGGAAATTCAACATTTCTTGGATTTTCCAGAGACTTTCCCAAGAAATTTCCATAACATTCACCCACGTATTTCACCATTCTGTATCATTTGCTCCCGCCATAGTCCGGAATTTTGGTCGAATGGGAAGCATCTATTGTTCATTGTAATAGTACCTTAAATGAACTACGTGACGTTTTGCGCATCTTGAAAAGTTGAGCCTAAATTTTTCAAGTTCGTCGTTTCAGTTAATCAGTCGATCAGTCAATAAGTCAATCAATCAATCAATCAATCAATCAATCAATCAGTCAATCAGTCAAATTTTATTTAAAGAGTGACACTTGAAAGTTATCAAACAAATGAACGTATGGCCCTCTAAGCCTCACTGAGCCGTGTGACTGAGCCGCGTCGACAGACGATTCAAGGTGCAGCTGCGGAACAGAAAACAGCACATGAATCAATTCTCCTCAAATGCAATAGCAACAACTGACTACCACGCCTTTCCCAAATCTTATTCAATATTCCTCAATTTTGGCCACACTTCTAGCTTCTCGGTTTACTACCCCACTTTTTACCTGGCTTCATTTTAAGTAACATATTACGTTGCTCTAGAACATAATAATCAAATATGGTGAATCCAGGTGAAAAGGGAGCAAATTAGTGCCGTTTATCATGGCAAAGGAAAGCCATGACAACCGCTCACTCTCGACAAAATCCAGAATAGCTAGCTGTTTTGGATTACAATAATACAATATAATACAATACTTTATTTAGACACGTCACGTCTAAGAGCTTTACAAGCTCGTTCAAAATACGTACGTTACGTGTATCTCTTAGAACTGAAACTCAGTTTATGGCTGGGAATAACCGAATCGCACAATTAAGATATAATTATTTAGTTTAGCAGCGCTTTTCTTGAAAGGACACAAAATTAAAGAGGTGAAACGCTTATAACAATGTTAGAATTGTTCTTTAACCGTAAATCTTGGACCTTCTGGGACGGAGAGGGAAGCTTCACAGGCCCTTACCATGGCAAAATGTAAAACCGCTCTTGCTGTGACCACTAAAGTATTACAGAACGATGCAGAGATGAAGTTTACCAGTTAAAGATATTTTGGAGTCATTTTGATGTGAAGTAACATTATTATGACGTCATTTATTTGCTTTTCTGTGGCTAAAGAAATTTATTCATCAATTTCTTCAAATTTCAATGTACAATAAGAACAATTTAACAGTTAAGTGTTTGATAAACTTCTGGTGGCCGCTAACCCTTCTATTTTCATTTGTAACACGATAGTTAATAGAGAGAAATGGTTAGAAAGACCGGAAAACATCAAAGAAACAAACAAAAAGGCTACGATTTATGTTGGAGGGTACTTGACCTTGCACATCTTTTGTTTTATGCTCATTTACTATGCATGATTCACATAATCGTAATGCTGCTATTGGTTAGTTGTTTGAGCACACATAACCACCTTTTGTGCTTTTGCCAGGTTTTGTGCAGAAATAGCCAAAATAGCCAACCAAAAAAACATACAACAAAGAACTTTGCCAGATTTCCTAACCATGTCCCTCTATTAACTATGGAAATGGAACACTAATGACGTCATTATAATGCAATATGCATAGCTAAACATCTACCATATGTGATTGTCCGTCTTGAACGCAAAATGATTTAGGGATTGAAGGGTCTGCCACTTAGTATTCGATTCATTTAAATAACTTGAGATGACACACCACGCAATAAAGTTTCCTATGATCGGATTCGCTGTTATCATTGTCCTAGATATATTTATTTATTAGAGGGAAGTTTAATCAAGGAAAATGCCTCGCATTTTTCTGGTTTATTGGTTGAATAAGCCATGGTAAACTTACATAATTTAGTACAAGTCTACTAGTATACTCATGCAAATGCTGCAAACTGATTGGCTGGGCTACTCGTATACTATCAGCCATTAGAGTGCAGTGGCTGTCGATCGTCCACGAAATGCGACGTTTTTATCGTTTTTCCGAAGTTTTGGCAGAAAGTTTAGATGTAAATGGATAATTAAATTCCTGAGAAGGCTTAAAGAAGAACAATAACGGTTTCTTGACCTTAAAAACTTGAAATTATTGAGTTAACGGTTGCGCGAGCGTAAACACCTCCAAATTCACCAAGGACAATTATTATTTGCATTATTTTCAGTTAGAATTCTGCTAAAACAATTAGATTATTCGCTCTCGATTTCTACGAGGCGATAGTTGATGAGGCCTTCGGCCTCATCAACTATCACCTAATAGAAATCTCGGGCTCATAATCTAATTGTTAAATAGCAGTAGTCTCTATGTTACCTATCATGTGCGTGTCTTTATGAAGCCTTGATACTCACCACAGTATCGAAGCGAGCATACAGGCGATTTTTGCAACTCATACACGTAAAAGGCGCCGCAGTTCTTGACTTTAATGTTGTTTTTCCATCGACAACAATTGTTTGACCAGTGATAACAGACTTCACGAGTCACTTGACCGTCTGCCACAGAAGGATGTTGTCCTTTGATCCATCCTGGGGCATGAGTACCACAACGACGTACAGGTGGGCATGTAGTGGGCATCTTTGGGCTACCAGCAACACCAGTGAAACGATACCATCCAGGGGTGATATCTCTCTGATCACATCGGACTGGGCTTTGACCCGTGAAAGTGATAAGACGGTCTGCTGCATTGAGGCTCTTGTAGTTGCTGCATGGGTCATTAGATGCAACTGTTGGAATAATAAATACCAATGAAGTCACCTTCACTGACTAAATTTTCAAACTGGAGGCTATTAAAAAAAAGGTCAAGGAAAGGTTGTTCAAGATAAGGTTTTGTAGAAATAAAGGAAAAGGCAATGTTGAGGTTGTGGTTTGGGAGGAATGTCTAGTTCCAAAGCGGAATCGTGGAGTTCGTAACGCGAAAAAGCCTTGTTTGTATGTTGTATCAGTTTACATGATTGCTTCAAGCAAGTTATTCTTTCTCTTTTGAAAGTACCTCTATATTACCCAACATGTGTATGTCTTTATGAAACATTAATACTCAACCACAGTATCGAAGCGAGCATGCAGGCGTTTTTTGCAGCTCATACACGTAAAAGGCGCCGCAGTTCTTGNGTGAAAGTGATTCGACGGTCCGCTGCATTGAGGCTCTTGTAGTTGCTGCATGGGTCATTAGATGCAACTGTTGGAATAATAAATACCAATGAAGTCACCTTCATTGACTAAATTTTCAAAGTGGAGGCTATTAAAAAAAAGGTCAAGGAAAGGTTGTTCAAGATAAGGTTTCGTAGAAATAAAGGAAAAGGCAATGTTGAGGTTGTGGTTAGGGAGGAATGTCTAGCTAGTTCGAAAACGGAATCGTGGAGTTCGTGACGTGAAAAAGCCGTGTTTGTATGTCAACCGGCACTAGTGAAATTTTTCAGTTTATAGGAATGTTTCAAGCAAGTTATTCTTTCTTTTAAAGTACCGTATATTACCTAACATGTGTATGTCTTTATGAAACATTAATACTCACCACAGTATCGAAGCGAGCATGCAGGCGTTTTTTGCAGCTCATACACGTAAAAGGCG